TTCCGGCCACAGGGCGGGTAGTTGTTTTCTAGATTTAGCCCTGCTCTGGGCAAGCAGAGCTAAATGTCCAGTGTCGAAGTCGCCGAGATCACTTGTATGCAGCCTGCAGGTCTGCCATTCTCCATGAGGGGGGTGGTTGTTGGCTAGGGGGATGCATTGAGGAACATGGCCTTGGGGCAGCAGGGAGAGTAAATCCAGCCCTGGGTACAGACATGGACACCAGTCCTCCAGTTGTGCTTCAATTACAAAGCCCAACATGCCTCTGCCTCTGGAAGTCATCTCTGTAACCGTCAATCTTGCAATGTCTCATGGGACTTGTAGTTGCACCAGTCCAGAGTTGCCCACCCATGGACTGATGGAAGAGTCTGCAGGTGCCAGAGCATTGCACCCGCCAATGATCACACTTACAAAGGTTTACTGGCTCCAATGCAAAAAATACTAAATGCACATTTTTTTTCTTTTATGAAGACATGAGCATTTTTTAAAATTATTTTTTCTAAAAAGGTGGAATTTTCCTTTAACCCCTTGTTAGCACAGTGTCCAGAACTCATTTACAGCTACTAATGAGAGCTGCCAACACAGTACAGACAGGGTTCATTAAATTTAGTAGAGCACATATTGTACAAGCAGCAAGTACAGCAATTTGCTATGTGAATGGGAAACATATACCCAATATAAAGTCAGTGTTATCCCAAAGTGGCTGAAAACGTGCAATTTCAGTGTAAACTGACCGAACACGCGTCATCTCATTTCCTTCACAAGCCCTTAAAGGAGAACTATGAGGTGAGTGATTTTCACTCATCCTCATAGTTCGAGCCGACGTGTGACAATGAAACTGTGACACATCGGCTCTATTGATCGGGAAGTGAGAGAACACATACCGTTCCTCCCTCACGTTCCGATCATCTCCCTGCAGAGAGCCGTGACTGTCAGCACTGACTGGTGGAACGGACGGGGGAGGGGGCGTGTACAGCTGGCTCTGCCTCTACATTGGCAGAGCCCGCTGTCACTCACACAGCTGGGTGGATCTCGATAGTAATGTCGGGATCCTTCCCGACTGCGGCGTCTCAGTATATAGCAAGCTGTAGCCCGCTATATACTGAGCTTTGGGTGTAATATACTTACCGGCCGCGTACCTGTGCCTCTACTGCGGCGTCCCCAGGCACGCCGCCAGGATGAAGGTAACCTTCTCCCCATCTGTAGAGTCACCCCTACCGTCACTCAACCTCACTCTTACGTCTTTCTCTCATTAACTTTGCAGTGGGACCAAGAGAGGATCGTCGCAGAGGCTATGATTGACTCAGGAGCTTGTGGCAACTTTATAGACCACCGTCTAGTCTCAAAAAATAAAATACCCATTATAAAACGAACCACCCCTCTGTCTGTCAGTTTCTTGGATGGAACAACCGCTCCATCCGGACCTATCTGCTACCAGACACAACCCCTTCTAGTTACCTGCTCCAAATCGCATACCGAGGTCCTATCCCTAGATGTCATCTCCTCGTCGGTGTTCCCTATTGTATTGGGGTTACCTTGGCTTCTTCTACATCAACCGTCATTTCTCTGGCAGGAACGCACTCTCCAGCTGCATTCCAACTACTGCAAGGAGACCTGTTATCCCATTACTCAGTTGATGACAGTAACCGAGCCTATGGTTCCTCCCCAATACAAGGAGTTCACAGACGTGTTCAGTGAGCACCTGGCGGAAGCTCTTCCCCCACATAGGCCATATGATTGTCCTATAGATCTTATACCGGGCAGCACTATCCCCACAGGGAGGATCTACCCTCTTTCACAGCCTGAACTGGTACTCCTGAAGGAGTACTTGGAGGAAAACCTCAGGAAGGGTTTTATCCGTCCTTCCACATCCCCAGCCAGTGCGGGGATGTTCTTCTTAAGGAATAAGGACGGGTCCATCCGGCCAATCATTGACTACCGAGCACTCAATAAGGTGACGGTAAAAAACCGCTACCCCCTACCACTGATCCCTGAGCTTATAGAGCGACTACAAAGGTCCAGAGTGTATACCAAGTTAGACCTAAGAAGTGCCTACAATCTCATCAGGGTAAGAGAGGGAGATGAATGGAAAACCGCCTTCAAGACCCGTTATGGCTTATTTGAGTATACGGTCATGCCGTTCGGGCTTTGCAATGCCCCTGCCACTTTTCAACATCTCATAAACGATATCTTTAGAGATCTACTAGACGTGTGTGTCGTGGTGTATCTAGATGATATTTTGATATACTCCGAGGATCTGGAGAGTCACCGCAGACACGTCCGCTGGATTCTCTCTAGACTTAGGGCGCATTCACTATATGCAAAATTATCCAAATGTGTCTTTGAACAAAAGAGAATCAGCTTCCTGGGCTACATTATTTCCCCCGCGGGAATAGAAATGGATCGGGAGAAAACGGCCTGCATCCACAAGTGGCCAGTTCCCCACTCAAGGAAAGCCCTACAACGTTTCCTTGGATTTTCTAACTATTATAGGAAATTCATTAAGAACTTCTCTGAGATTGTGAGACCCCTAACTTCCTTAACCAGTTCTAAAATCCCCTTCAAGTGGTCATCAGAGGCCCAGAGGGCCTTCGACCTACTGAAGACCAGATTCACTTCAGCTCCAATACTGAAGATACCTAATCCTGACTACCATTATGTCCTAGAGGTGGATGCCTCCCAATCGGCACTCGGGGGGGTCCTCTCCCAGCGGATAGGGGTAGACACTCCTCTCCACCCAGTTGGATTCTTCTCAAGGACTCTGACACCCGCAGAGTCCAACTACCCCATCGGTGAGAAAGAACTGCTCGCCATCAAGGCAGTCCTGGAGACATGGAGGCACCTCCTTGAAGGAACCAGATTCCCTTTCACTATATTCACAGATCATAGGAACCTCCAGTTCCTCAAGACCTGCAAAACCCTTTCATCAAGACAGGTTCGATGGAGCCTGTTTTTTGACCGGTTCGATTTCATACTATCCTATCGGCCAGGTTCAAAAAACGGCAAAGCCGACTCCCTCTCGAGAATGTCGGAGGAAGAGCCAACCATGGTCGAACCAAGACCAGTGATTCCACCGAACAAATTCCTAGGGACAATTATACCGTTTAAAGAACAAATCAGGAACGGTATATCAGAAGACTCGGGTACACTCCCTACTGGTCTCTCTCAAGACGCAGAAGGCCTGCTCTACAAAAATTCAAGGATGTACATTCCACCTTCTATGCAGGCGACTGTCATACAAATGCTTCACGACGCGCCGTTGGCAGGACACCCCGGTCTGACAAAGACCTTGGACCTGATCAGAAGACAGTTCTGGTGGCCCGGCTTAAAGAAAACGGTTCTCAGCTACATAAATTCCTGCCACGTCTGCGCAACCTGTAAGCCTGAAAGAAGACCCCCCTATGGCTTACTTAGTTCGCTAGACATACCCAAACGGCCATGGGAAACCGTTTCCTTAGACTTCATAGTAGAACTACCCTCTTCCCAGGGCCATGATACGATCATGGTAGTAATAGATGGACTCACCAAGATGGCACATTTCACTGCACTCCGCGGACTTCCCTCCGCCATTGAGATCGCCCGGTCCTTTATCGCACATGTCGTCAAATTACACGGCCTGCCGACTTGCGTTATATCGGACCGAGGCACACAGTTTGTCTCCCGATTCTGGAGAGGACTCTGCTCATCACTGCACATTGATCACCGGTATTCTACGGCCTACCATCCACAAACGAATGGTCAGACAGAGAGGGCAAACCAGTGCCTAGAGCAGTATCTTAGGTGTTACACCACATACCTCCAGGATGATTGGTACGACCTGCTCCCACTCGCAGAATTTGCCTTCAATAACTCCCGCAGTTCCTCTACCCATCAGTCTCCTTTCTTTGCGAACTACGGCTATCATCCTACCCAGCTGCCAACCACTGTACCAATGTGCCCTCGGCTGTCGACTACTTGTCAAAATTAACGGAGAACCGAGAGCTCCTCGAAAAGAACCTTCGGCTTCGGCTCGCGCAGGACCGACAGAAGCGGTACTATGACCTAAAAAGAAGGGCCCCTCCGGTTTACCGAGTCGGCGACAAGGTATGGCTTTCCACGAGGAATCTGCGGATGAAGCTTCCGTCGAAGAAATTGGGGAGACAGTTCATTGGTCCCTACGTCATCGAGAAGGTGATCAACACCAATGCCGTGAGACTGACGCTCCCCCCGGGACTGCTCATTCACCCCTCATTTCATGTCTCGTTGATCAAGCCGTACGTACCCGATCCCTTTCCACATAGGTCTCCCACGCCGGCTCCTCCCGTGGACATCCTGGGTGAAACCGAATACGAGGTGGAACAAATACTGAACTCCAGGAGACGTGGGAGAACATTACAGTACCTCATCAGATGGAAGGGCTACACTTCTCAGGAAGATTCCTGGGAAAACTCCCGAGAGGTGCATGCCCCTCTCTTAACCCGGGAATTCCATTCTCGATACCCTCGAAAGCCTGGGCCCTCGGGAACCCCGGGGGTGTTCCCTTGCAGGGGGTGTCCTGTAATATACTTACCGGCCGCGAGCTATCTGCGCTCCAGCGTGGTACGCAGCGGCTGTGTCACGCAGACCATTTCCCTATCAGAGGGGGAACTTCCCTGCGATCCACCGTGGAACGCGGAAGTGACGTCACGGCCGGGTCGTCCCTTCCGGGTTCGCGCACTATTTAAACGTCCTGTGAACGCTATGGAAGCGTTCCACTATTGAGCTTGATGCTCCCCACAAGCCAGGACCCACACCGGGAGATTCGCGGACCCCTCTCTGCTTTGGAGGTTCCTCTGCCTCTGTCCCATCCACAGGAAACCGCAAGTATCTTAGGTCATAAGGAGTCTGGACTGTGATACTGAACTTTAATCCCACTCAAACCCTTTGGAACAGGGAGCCATTGTACTGGGGCCGCTTATACTTACTATATTGTAAACTCCTACTCTCACCAGTGTCTGTTCATCCTCTCTCCTAAAGGAAAACGGAGTCATTGCACCCGCTTTACGTTGCTGACCTAATTGGGCTATGAGCTAAATAACCCCTGTAGGGTCCATCCCTTTCTCTTAAGTTTGTGGCAGATGATGCAAGAACCCCTCACTCTCGTTTGAGATTGAGAGAGACGCCTGGGGTTCAAGCCTGATTGCCATACCCAGCCCTAATTAAAAATTGAGTCCGCAGCTGTGATCCTTTTCGCTATAGCAGACCCTGGAGCATTACATTGGGTCACGGGAGGAAATTAGTATATGTCCTCCCGTGACCCTGAACAGAACTATGGGATAAAAAGGTTGCCCCATAGTTCTCTTTAAAATATTCAGACCGACGACTTAAATGGAATTCCAGATGTAGATCTTACTTGTACAGTGCTGCGGAATAGGTTGGTGCTATATAAGTAAATAATAATTGTAATGTAATAAACAGGATTCTATGCCCGTTACAATATGTCTGATTTTTCCCAAACGGAAATCACATTCACATTGTTTTATATTTATCACAGGACAACATACTGTAAGTATATATTTCATTATGAAAGGCAACCAGAGCACTGCGAATAAAAGGTCAGATACTCACTTTTCCGACTGTGCCACAAAGTCAAATTTGACGACTGCCTGTGCCACCGGGGAGAGCGCCTGCGGAGCAGAGGAAGCTTTAATGAATAAAAGGGACACAGTGAGAGTTAAAGGAGAACTGCGGCCACAACTTTCCTAGCTTTGGGCAGTGTGTAGGATGGTGTAGAACCCCTGTCATGTTTTTATTTGCTCTTTGTATCCCCATTGGGGGGGGGTTCAGTCTCACTCTCTACCCTGGTGACCACTGTCCCTGCAACAGAGAGTGAGTGGAAATATACATTTTACAGTTATCAGGGGAACAGGCGAATAGGGGAAATCTAGCAAAGGTAATTTTTAGGGGTTTTTTGGAGTTATTTCATTTTATTCTTTTCATGCTTCCTCATTTTTAGTTTTTGGTTTTTATAATATATACTTACTTCCGATATCATAACTTCTGGTCAGAGGGAGAACTTCCCCTGACTGGCAGTGCCGAGGGAGCATGGATCCGGCTTCCTTTCCAATCAGAAAGCCGGGCGGTGGGATATGACCTGCCTCCAGGCTTCCTGATTAGCAACAAGTGAAGCCGGCTTCCTAGCCAAACAGTCTGGCTTCCTAATTAATCAGGAAGCGGGGCGGCACGTCATAACCCGCCTCCTAACCAATCAGGAAGCCGGCTGCCTAGGAACAAGTGAATCAGGCTTCCTAACCAATCAGGAAGCCGGGAGGCAGGTCATGACTTGTCACACAGCTTCCTGATTCGCCAGGAAGCCGGCTTCCCTTGTTGGTAGGCAGCCTGGCTTCCTAATCAATCAGGACCAGTCAGGACTCGCATCCCGGCTTCCTTAATGGTCAGGAAGCCACACTGCCTAGAAACAAGTGACGCCGGCTTCCTAGCCAATCAGGAAGCCGGGAGGCTTATATATAGTGCAATATAAATGGGTAATATATTAATATATACACACACACTGTGTATGTTTTTCATTTTAGTTTATTCAGTACCGAGCAGACTTCTCTTTGTGACTACCTGACAGGGGAAGGTATTCCACCATCTAAAATAGACCTGGCTGGACCCCAACTGGGCACTATTAGTCAGATTTTGGAATAGTTTGGGTACACAACTGACAACGTCCTAAAACATCACCCAGCGAGTGTTGCCATAGACCTGCAATAAGCACCTCTGGCAGTTTCATGTTACAGCTTTATATATAGAAGGATATAAAACTGTTTGCTGATCCAGAGAATATCCGATCACCTTTGGGGATCAGGAAGGGATTTTTTTCCCCTCTTGGAGCAAACGGCACCATGCGTTATAAGGGTTTTATTGATTGGGGGGTCCAGTTTATTTATTTCTTTTTGTAACCAGAACCATTTTCCACGGCCAGTGTCACAAAATAAAATGCCTGCAATTTTATTGGGATTTAATTGTGGGATTTGGATGTGGACCGGCTGTAGCTGATAAGCCGGTAGGGATAACGAGACTCAAGTGGCGCAGCATTCCTCATGCCACCACCATCTATAGTTAGCTCCGTAGCTTAGGACGATGACAGATGGGCAATTGTTGTACCAGGTTTGACTGGAAGGGCGGCATTTATAAAGTAACACATGCTGTCACATTTGTTACAGAGTAATCCGTCGGCATGCTGCCAGGTGATCTACTTACACATTTCTGCAGCGCTTGCTCTATGTGTAAGAAATAGATAAGCTTTGCAAATTAGTCTGACACGTGGGCCTGCCGGTGTCCTTCATTTGCATGCAATTTTTTTTTTTAATAACAAATGCAGTGCTAAATTGCACTTTTTACCATGTCCTTGCACTACAGCACCCCATGGCACCCACCTGATTGTCGTCTGTGTTACTTCTGCTGCTCTGAGTACTGTTTAGGTTTGACTCAGCGCTGCCATCTGCTGGAAATCACATGATATGGTTACAATATATCAGCATTATCGGCTACTTATTATTGCTTCATCTAATAGCTGCATCAGGAAAATTAAACTTTTATGTGACAGAATTTAAAGTATAATTAAACCCTCTGGTTTTTTTTTGCATATATCTACTGCTAGCAAGCTTACCTGTGTCTTCCCCGCACGCTCCCGTCCGAAAATCTGAACAATCTCGGGCGGCCGCTAAGGATCTTGGGGCGGGCGCATGCGCAGTTCAGATTTTAGTCCGGGAGACGAGCAGAGACGCAAGGTAAGTCTATTGACGCGTGCACCCGCACAGATGCCGTGGGACAAGAAGTGTCAGAAAGGACAGAGGAGTCAGCGCTGGATCGGAGAGCCGCTGCGGCGCTGGAGGGACAGATGAAAACGACAGGAAAGAAGAGGAAGATCGGATTAAGAAACATCATTTAAGATAAGTTTTTTAATTAACATTGGGGGGAGGGAAAAAAAAAACGTATCCTTTAATGTCACTTTAAGCAACCGTTAAGACCTGCTTTTACCTGCTTCTGTTCTGTAGGTTCTGAGAGAAGCTTCCTGACAATGTAATAAAAGTTTGACTAGGAGGTCCTGCTGATACTGTAATCACAAGGCCGGTCCCCGTGTTTAATTAGTAACAGTTTGCCCGCAGCATACCTTTAGGTTGTAGAGGAAAGGTTGATGTTTGCTTTATAATTCAGCTGACTATTTCTGGATCTGTTAAAGCTGAACTCTGTTAAAAGCAAATATTGTCCTCATACAAGAGTCATGTGTATTCTTCCTTGAATCTTGGTGAGCAATGTGTATATATTCCGGATCTGTGCAGTAATCCAGTGTGAGACTTTGCCTCTGAAGAGGCAAACTGAGCAATATATTCCTCAATGGCCACAAAGGGTATGCATACATTTTATGTGCACCAAAAGCCTTTGCAAACTCAAATATTACCCTGTAAAAGCAGTAGTGACATCATCAGAGTGCTGTACTTAACCTGAGCAGAGCTGTGGGAGAGACTCATCAGGCCCCACCCACTACATAAAACTACAGGAGGGGGCGGAGACAAGGCAAGTCACCCTGCATAGGAGAGAGAGCAGCAATTACCAATCTTTATTACAGGAGAGGGTGGAGACCAGTCACCCTGCACAAGGATAGAGAGCAGCAGTGAGCGGTCTTTATTACAGGAGGAGGCGGAGACAAGAACAGTCACCCTGCAAAAAGGAGAGAGAGCATCAGTGATCCATCTTTATTACAGGAGGGCCGGAGACAAGACCAGTCACCCTGCACAAGGAGAGAGCAGCAGTGACCGGTCTTTATTACAGGAAGCTCCAAGTCTCACACTGGATTACTGCACAAATCTGGAAGAAATACACAAAGCTCATTGAGATTCAGGGAGGAATACCCATGGCTCTTGTATTAGGACAATATTTGCTCAGTTCAGTCTCAATAAAGGGACAAAATGAGCATTTTCTAGCCCCCAGGAGCAGATAAGATCTGCAAGACAAAGAAACTGAATTGGTAAATTAATTAAATTGATCAAAAAAAAGTTTCAGCAAACATTTAACCCCTGATATCTAAATCTGGATCCCACAAGTGATGATTTATTGAGGGGCCACCACATCTGGCCCGGACCCCTGCATGGTACCCCTACTATATCTCGGAACAATCTCGGTTATGTATAAAGTGTGGAATCCAGTGACAGAAATGCCAATATTAGACAATGTTCAGCCTGCAGTATGTGGAATAGACATGACAAGCGGGACAAGCGGGACTTCATAACTTAGTTCTTGTTATTATTGTAATAATATGGACACAGCAGCCAATGAAGATTAGAAAATCCGGACATGAAGAGAGATCATGACGCTGGATTCCTAACATCTGAATAATGATTTGTAATATTATTTTGCGCAGATCACTATGAAAACAAACCCGCCGCCTCACATTCTTTACCTGCAGCTATACAGCTCCTCTGACTCAGCCCGTTTCTTCATTTATCAGTGTCATCTCATAGAACACTGTGTCTTAACACTTACTACACCCACAGGCCATTATGTGAGCTCTGGCCATAGTCACGTGAGCATTATTGTGTGGCATCACTCAGGAACTTTGGGTGACCATAGACAAGGAGACATCCAACCAAGAATAACCAGTCCATCTGTCCAGACAACTGTTGAGCACTCCAGTGATGAGTTATCCATACCATAGTTTCCACCTCTGTTCTCACCCACCTTGGAGTTTTCTTTATTTATCAGTGTCATCTCACAGAACACCAAGTCTTTCCACCAACTACACCCAGAAGCCATTATGTCAGCTTTGGCCATAGTCACATGACTAGAATTGTGTGGCATCACTCAGGAACTTTGAGTGGCCATAGACAAGGAGATGTCCAACCAAGAATAACAGGTCCATCTGTCAAGACAACTGTCCATCTCAAAAGCATCCCCACTCTGAATGGACCTGGCAAAACCTTCTCTCCTAAGGGGCAGTCAAATACTGTACGTGTTCTCTCTCACAAACTTGGTGAGGAGATATGGGCCAAGTGGGCGGGTCCATCTCAAAGTGATATTTCAGCTTTGGACACAGTCTTGACTTCTTTTATTCCTTGAGTACTCCAATGACAAGAGCTCCATACCAAAGTTCCCATCTCTGTCCTCTCCCATCCTAGGGTTTTGTGTTCCCACCCAGTATGGTGATCCCAATTCTTTTTAGGTACAGGAGCTTCTTTTCAGGCACATTTGAGCGGTTTTGCTCCATTGGACTTCAATGGAAATTCTGTAAAATGTGTGTCACAAGCTTTTTAGGGGATTTTGTTGGCGTTTTTGCATGATGGTACTGTTTTCCATTGGGCCAAATAGAAAAACACTTGAAGCTGAACGTCCGTAAAACACTCAAAAACGCTTTACAAATCAAAAAAACACCAACACCTAAATGTGAACGGGGCCTAAAACCCATCGGTGTGGCGCTCTTGTCTCTTCTAAACTCCTAGACCCGGCCGGCATGTCTGACCCACTCTTATATCTATGGCTGCCCATAGACTGATGATAAAAGTCTAAGGCTGACTTTAGCTCTGTATGGATTTATGGCTACCATTGTCCATCCAGGATTGTGATGTAGAGAGCAGTATATAGTGTGCCGCCATTTACAATAATTTAAATAATTTCTCATTGTACCATGGACTAGTCCTTTAAGACAGTTTTATAAACATTTGTCTTACCTTCTCTGTATGAAGATCTCCGTAATATAACTTCCTGTAGAGAGACAAGACAGCAAGTGAGCACATTGTACATCTGGGAATCTCAGACACAAATATCAACAAAGCTGCAAAATAATTCAAGACCACCCATTGCTGTATAATAATCACCGGCACTATATACACTCACCGGCCACTTTATTATGTACACCGTGCTAGTACTGGGTTGGACCCCTTTTGTCTTCAGAAATGCTTTAATTCTTCGTGGCATAGATTCAACAAGGTGACGGAAACATTCCTCAGAGAGTTTGGTCCATGATGACATGATAGCATCACACGGTTGCTGCAGATTTGTCGGCTGCACATCCATGATATGAAGCTCCACCAGCCTGAACCGTTGATACAAGGCAGGATGGGTCCATGCTTTCAAATTCTGACCCGACCATCCGAATGTCGCAGCTGAAATGGAGACTCGTCAGAGCAGGCAACGTTTTTCCAATCTTCTATTATACAATTTTGGTGAGCCCTTGCAAACTGTAGCCTCCGTTTCCTGTTCTTAGCTGACAGAATTGGCACCTGGTGTGGTCTTCTGTGGCTGTAGCCCATCTGATTCAAGGTCCAATGTGTTGTGTGCTCAAAGATGGTATTCTGCATACCTCGGATGTAACGAGTGTTTATTGGAGTTACTGTCGCCTTTCTATCAGCTTGAACCCGTCTGCCCATTCTCCTCTGACCTCTGACATCAACAAGGTATTCTTGCCCAGAGAGCTGCCGCTCACTGGATATTTTCTCTTTTTCTGACCTTTCTCTGTAAACCCGAGAGATGGTTGTGTGTGAAGATTCCGGTAGATCACCAGTTGCTGAAATACTCAGACCAGCCCGTCTGGCACCAACAACCATGAACCACGTTCAAAGTCACTTAAGTCACCTTTCTTCCCCATTCTGATGCTCGGTTTGAACTTCAGCAGACCATCGTGACCATGTCTACATGTATCGAGTTACTGCCATGTGATTGGCTGATAGGATATTTGTGTTAACGAGCAGTTGAATAGGTGTACCTAATAAAGCGGACGGCGAGTGTATATATTACTGTATCATTCTACAAATATATCATTTATTTAGATGAACTCCTTAATTACAGCGGTTCTCCTGTGCAACCTCAGGACCCACATTTGTCCTTCGCCATTAAGTCACGACCCGAGTTGCACTGCAATGGATCGCACAGCATTAGGGTACTGCGCGTTCCGGTGCGGGCGTATGAACCCACTGGGTGGGAGGGGCGTTTGGGGTACCATTAAAAATGAATGGCAACGCAACACACCTCCCACAACAGAATCCCAGGACTATGCGATTCATGCACTGTACTAGTGTGAACGGGTCCTCAAAAACACTGACAGACACAGAGATATTCTGACACACATACACAATCCAATTTTTTTTTCATTAAATTGAGTTTTTTATTAAGGTCCACCCAGTATCGTTACCTTTATGGGAACTGGAGTGGATCCTCAGCCTGGGGTCCAGTGTGGGCTGCTGTGCCGTGACGGAGCTCCATCCATATGTGCATTGTTTGTACAGCTCCATTGCATGTCCTGTAGAGGTTCCGGGAGCCAGAACGTGATGTCACCATAACTCCTCTATAGGACACGCAAGGGAGCCGTAAGCAATGCGCGTATGGATGGAGCTCCCTCACGGCCATACCCCCATCTCATCCAACCTCAAGCTGACACTCGGCACCGAGCAGCATATTTTGAATGACTGCTCAGCACGAGAATTGACAATGCAGAGCTGGGGGGAGGCAGAGGAGCCTCTCACCTAGTGCACTGAAAGGCACGCGGGGACCCACTGAAAACATGGTCGTGACCCACCAGTTGAGAACCAAGGATATAAAGTATTTACATTCGTTGTATACTCTTCACTTTCCCCAGCAAGGCCTAAAACAGGAATAGGTAGTGGTTTCCTTTTTCTTATTTATTATGGTGAGGGCGACAAAAAAAAATCAATTTTAAAAAATGTATTTAGTTGGGTAACTATGAAATATTCTGGATATTTGTGTATTTTCGGTGCTAGTTAGCTACTTTTTACATGCTCACGTGCCTATTCTGCTGTATGGAAAAGCTTGTTTACTGAGTTCAGTAGCTCAAGCTGACATGCACACACAGTCAGAGCGGTAACTCCTCCTCCCGCTTGCTGTGTACAGAGGACTCCATAGCAATCAGAGGTATGGAGCCTAAGGGCCCATTCACACCTCATCCAGATCATCTCCAGACCAGATTGTTTCCGGACCCAAAATGCATCCCAATGTATCCCTATGCTATTTATGGCCTCTGTTCACACCAGCGCAGTCCGTTCCAGACCAGACCAGAAAAATACTGCATGTCTCATTTTGTCTGGTCTGGAATGCACTGGAACTGCGGGGAGGATCACACCATTTTCCAGACCAGATCTGCTCCAGGAAATGGTGTGAACCTGCCCTAAAGGCAAACAGCTTCTGTTGTCTCTTTAGCAAACCCCGAGTGCTCTGTGAATTTTTAGCCGAGTCCCCCTGTAGCAAATGTTTTATTTGTCTCTCTTTTTATCTATTTTTTTTAGAATGTTGCCAAGTCAGCTGTACAGGAAGCTCAATGACACATTTGGCCAACACGTAAAGTTGCTCATTTTGCTTCATCGGTCATTGCAATGTATTAGTGGCTTGCAGAAGGACCTATCGGGGGCACCATCATGCTCAGAAATGATCCTTGAATGGGACTAGCTGTATCCATATTTCCACAAATACAAATAGCTAGGACAGACCAGTTTCTGCCGGTGAGGCGGGGTTTCTTTTTTTCTGGCCAATCAGCACATATAAGAGAAGCATAATTGAATGCGTTTTCTTAAGGTGCCATATCACCTTTCAGCAGACACATCATAGCAAGGGATTAAAGAGGATCTAGCATCAGACATATGTTATGTATGCTAAGTGCAAAGATTATAATGAATGAGTAATGACTTCCTCCAACAGAAATCATAGCACTCCCCGTCACAATGCCTTCATCTGCTTCTCTCTCTAGGGGGATAGAGCCATCTTTGTTCACAAATCCTACAGGGTCCAGATCTACTTCCTGCACTGAAATGCTGACTTGCTGCAAAGTTACAATATTGCAATCTGATCACTGCGGGAAAGGGGGCAGCAGACTGATGACCTCATCTTAGCCTAGTCAAAGTCACTGGACTGGAACCAGTGGCGTAACAATCACCATAGCGACCCAGGCAGCCGCTATGGGGCCCGAGGCACGGCGGGGCCCGGCCAGGACATCTCCCTGATGCCATGCGGGCCGCCTGGGTCGCTATGGCATCTTGCTCGGACAGCCAGGCTGCTGGCTGTCACTGGCGGCTGTGAGGAGGAACGCTCCGTTCCTTCTCACAGCCGCTGCTGAGTTGGTGACAACCAGCAGCTTCGCAGGAGGTGGCTGGGCCCGTCATCGGCAGTGATCGAGGAGGCGGGGCCCGGCTATCGAGGGGCGTGGCCCGGCTATCGAGGAGGAGGGGCCCAGTGACGGAGGAGTCGATTGTGGAGGAGAAGGAGGCGGACAGAGGATCAGGGCTGACAGGTAAGAGGGCTTGACCGCCCGCCTGAGACCCTGCAGAGCCTACCATAGAGATTCTATGGTGGGCTCTGCAGGGTAACCCTTAGGTGGGCTGTTTGGGTTATCAGGTGGGCGTAACTAGAAATCACAGGGCCCCATACAAAATTTTGCTATGGGGCCCTGTGATTTCTAGTTACGCCCCTG